TTTTTTTAATTAACCAATTAGAATAAGAAATTAGATTTAATAATTTTAATATATTTAATTTATTTGTATTAAATTAGTTCATAAGTATAAAAATTTTAGTAATTTATTTATTTATAAATATATATTTATGAATAAATATTCTCATAACAACCTTATATTAGCTAATAGTATTTAGAATTAGAGGTTTAAGTTACATAAATTTTGTTTATTTTTATTGGTTGTACTAATTAAGTTGTTACAAATAAGCACATAACAGGTTGTTACAATTAGATTTATTTATTAATAAAAAATCATAAAAGATTTTGTTCAATAAATTTATAAGTACCAAATGCATAATTTATATAACAGAGAGGTGTGATGACTTAGTGTAGTTGGTAAGTTGTCACACCCCAAGTGGCAGGACAAAAGTTCGAATCCTACTGGTGCCGAAATTTGAATTTACAGAAATATATTATGGTAAACTATATGATATATTATTTGGGTAAGCATCTGTGACTTTGGTCTTATCAACTCATATTGAGAGGGTGTAGAATGTAGTATAATGTATGAGTTATACGAAATCTGAGTGAAGCAGCCAAATAAATCTAAGGGATCAGAGATAGTATTACAAGTCAGCTGGAGCAGCCACGGCTAAAGTGATTTAGCCGGCTAAGTCAGCCAATATATTAATATTGGCTAGCTAATACAGCTTAAGATCACATGATTTCTATAGTATAATTTAGGCTAAAGTGATAATGCTAGGCAGAATTAATTAATAGGAGATACTGTTAGACATCTCTATAATCACCTCTTTTATAGTTACATTTGCTTATAATCACAAATTTTTAAGCATAAACTCTCTATAAGAATAAAAATCTTAAAACAAAAGGTGTGATTATATAGAGATTTGACTAACAAGAATTGAAAAATTCTGAAAAGAAAATGATCAAATATAAAATACAAATAAAGATGAAAAAAAAAAATTTAAATAAATACTTGATAATTTCCGAAGATAAAAAATTTGGTTTTAACTATTAGCCAACCGCTTAGCTGATTTTTTTACCAGCTGGCTTAGCTAGCTGATAAGAATCTTATGGCTTGTAACACTAATTAGAAGATATGAAAGTCTGCTTAGAAAGTTTCGAGTAGAGAAGTAGCACAGATCTTTGACAGTACTACATAAAGGATTATCATTTGGAGAACCAGACACTAGCAGTAAACTAAATGAGGACTAAATATTTGGCAAGCACTACACTAACCAGGCCGTTAGACTAGCTGGAGGAAAAAAAATTCATTCAAAATACTAGGAGATGCCCACTGATCCCTTCCGAGCCATCTAGATTAGAAGTTTGGAGCACTTAGTTAGTATCGAAATACTGTTGATAGTCTATAAAGTGGGTATTGGGGTTTAGGTAAACTTTACAAAAGCACAAACTAGATAATAGTAGCAGAAGTAAAAAGCTGCTAGGGTTCCTTAAAATCAAATCAAATCAAATATTAGACTTATTTGAATTTAATTTGATTTGAAAATCTGAATTTGAATTTGATTTGATTTAAAAAATCTGAATTTGAATTTGATTTGATTATTTAATTTTAAAATTTCAAATCAAATTAAAATTTTAGCTATTTGTAAAATTCTTTAATTTTCTTAAAATTTTTTAAGCTAATCAATTTGTATATTAAATAAAAAATGTTTTTCTAATTAAAATATTTCTAGTTTTATAAAACCAAATTAGCGATTATTTTAATAAAATTTTGAGAAAATAGCCTTTAGAACTATAACTCTTTAAATTTTAGCTGTTAATGAATATTTTAGAATTTCTTAAAATTTTATTAAGCTAATCATTTTGTATATTAATAAAAAATGTTCTTCTAATCAAATTAGCTCTAGTTTCATAAAACCAAATTAGTAATTGTCTTAATAAAATTTTGAGAAAATAGCCTTTAGTACTATAGCTCTTTAAATTTTACTATTTATAAATATCTTCGATTTTTATAAAATTTTATTGAGCTAATCAATTTTATGTATTAAATAAAAATATTTTCCTAATCAAAATAACTTTAGTTTCATAAAACTAAATTAGTAATTGTTTTAATAAAATTTTGAGAAATAGCCTCTAGAACTATAATTCTTTAAATTTTAGCTATTTATAAATATCTTTGATTTTTACAAAATTTTATTAAGCTAATCAATTCTATATATTAAATAAAAAATATTTTTCTAATCAAAATAGCCCTAGTTTTATAAACCCAAATTAGCAATTGTTTTAATAAAATTTTAAAAAATAGACTCTAGAACTATAACTCTTTAAATTTTAACTGTTTATAAATATCTTCGATTTTCACAAAATTTTATTAAGCTAATCAATTTTGTGTATTAAGTAAAAAATAATCTTCTAATCAAAATAGCTTTAGTTTTATAAAACCAAATTAGCGATTATCTTAATAAAATTTTTATATAATAGCCTTTAGAACTATAAGTCTTTAAATTTTAGCCGTTTATAAATATCTTTGATTTTCTTAAAATTTTATTAAGCTAATTGATTTTGTATATTAAATAAAAAATGTTCTTCTAATCAAAATAGCCCTAGTTTTATAAGCCCAAATTAGCAATTGTCTTAATAAAATTTGAGAAAATAGCCTTTATAACTATAGCTCTTTAAATTTTAGCCATTTATAAATATTTTCAATTTTTACAAAATTTTATTAAGCTAATCAATTTTGTATTTTAAATAAAAATCTTCTTCTAATCAAAATAGTGCTAATTTCATAAGCCCAAATTAGTGATTGTCTTAATAAAATTTTGAGAAAATAGCCTCTAGAACTATGATTCTTTAAATTTTAGCTGTTTATAAATATCTTCAATTTTTACAAAATTTTATTAAGCTAACTGATTTTGTGTATTAATTGGTGATTTGTTAGTCAATCAAAGAAGATCTGCAAATTTTTAAAAGTAAATTTTACTATTAAGCCAAATGTGGAGTGCACCAATCTAAAACTTTTTTCTTACTAAGTTAATCACTCTTGGGCTTATAACAAAAGTTGTAAAGCTCATCAAGTAGTAAGAATTTAAAATTGGCCTGATAGTTCTTGAGAAATCTTTAAAAACGTTTTACTAATATATAAATTTTCTTTAAAAAAAAATAATTTTTTTTAAAGAAATTTATATGTTGACAAAACGTTTTTTAAAGATTTCTCAAGAACTTTCAAGCCAATTTTAACGTTCTTACCACCATTTGATACATCTTGATGAGCTCTACAACTTTTATTATAAGTCCAAGAGTGATTTACTTAGTAAGAAAAAAATAGAGCTATTTGTGACGGAGTCACGAGATAGCCTTTTTGTCATGAGATTAGGCTCAACGACACAGAGGTAAATTGGAACCTACATTTGGCAAGGGTAATTGCGTGATTATATGTAATTCACCAAAATTTAGTGCTATTAAAAGGAGAATTTTGTAAGAGCTATTTCTTCACTTTTATACTTTGCTGTTGCTCAACTCTGAGGAGTTTAGCTCGGTCGACTTTATATAACAGCTCAACAGTTAACTTCACTTTAATGCCTATTTGGGACATATAAACACAACAATCAATCAATTTAAGAAATAAGAGGCGTTAACGAATGAACGAATAATAATAAAATTAAGAGATCAAACGTTTAATACAATACAAAGGACCAGCAGCTTATAATATGAGTTCTCTTGGTAAAGAGTTAATTGAAAAAGATGTAGAAAGTACACCTATACAAGAATTGCAAGAGGTTGCATCAGACTCAAGCTTTAAAAACAACCTAGACAGGTTGACAATTGAAACATTAAGATTACTTTGTTTTGTAGAAGGTCTACCTGAGATAGAAAACAAGAAAGACTTGGCAGAACATTTTGCTACGAAATTACTAAATAATATTAAGGGTAAGGAAACAACAAACGTGGACGATTCTTGGCAAGGTGATAAAGAATGTTATATAAACCAGTATGTGGACAACTTGAGGAAGGATTTTTAGTGAAGAGAAATAGGAGAATAAGGTAGAGACTATTATGGTACATATAATCAGGCTAGAAGTATATATGATGTATCAGAAAATATTTTATGGAACCATACAGAAGGGACTTATATAGAGGATAGGAGATATATTTCATTAAAAAAATCATTAGAGAAATCATTACAAGCAATATTGGCAAAGGCTTTAGAGGAAATAAAAATTAGTCTACGATTATCAGAAAAACAGGAGAATAAAGATTGGTCAGAAGTAAAGATAAACAGACCTAGAAATCAGTTCGAATACGAAGAATGGCGTAAAGTTGGAAAACTCCTTGATGAAGCATTGATGAGTAAATCATGGAATCAAGTGATGAAGACTTGAAAGATTGCTTATACTTGGGCTTATATGTTATATATAGCAAATAAAAAAGGATAGGATGTTGCAGCAGCATTAAAAGAATCTTGTAATGAAAGTCCATTAGAGACAATGTTTAAGGAAAAGCTGATGGTTGCCAGACAGTATAAAAATAAGAAAAGAAAGCTAGATTATTCGTTAACAACAACTGTGATACTCCTCTTTCCTACATTTGTAATACTAGCAATGGTAACTTTGTATAATCAACCATCTCAAAGAGTACCATTAGAGCAAATTAACACAAATGCTCCCGTGTTTTAACTATGGGTATCGTACCATCAAATACCACTGCAGAAGTCACAGTATGTATGGTCACAACATCAGGATCCAACAACATAACAGGAGTTTAACTATGCACCTCCTACTTATCAGCAAATGAATGATTTAGAAGCTCAAGTAAGAAATCAGGAAAATCTACCAGTGTAATTTGTTTCATATGCAAAGAACGTAGTTACATAGCCACCAATTGTCCCCAAAAAAAGACATTAAGTTCATTTTGGCAGTTAGAATCAAATACCTTTAGTTAACAACACTCGGGGATACAAAAGAAAGGAGAGATATTGGATATTCAAGAGGAACTAAAAGTAATCAGGAGGATTCATAAGACAGAAGCAGTAAAATATTGGAAAGGATGATAAAACTACCAGCCTTAGTAATGCACTGGTTAGAAAATGGAGTGCTGCTATATTCAAAAATGGTAAAATCATTAGCCCAAAAAGAAGATCTAACACAATTTAGGTTTAAGGAGGAGTAATTGATATGGTTTAAGAAGAAGCTGGACTGTCTATACAATTCAGATGCAATTCAACAGATCCATTAAGGCAAAGAAAGACCAGACTTCTTGCTAGAAGTCAGCCCATTTTTCTGATTTCCAAAACAGGGCAGAAGAAATTCAGACTGGTCATAAATCTGCGCAAATTAAACAAAACACTACCAGAGAAAATGGTTTATTTCGAAAGGTTGGGCAGATTTTTAAGGACAATCAGACGAAAATAGTAGGTTATAGTTTTTGACCTAAGAGATAGATATCATCTTGTAAAAATAGACAACTGGGTACAATGATTTCTGGGTTTTAGACATGGAGAGATCTGGTACTATTATACTGTTCTTTCTTTCGGCCTTTCCCAAGCAGTATAGATTTTTTCCAAAATAATGCTTCTCTAATTGGCTCATGGTGCTTAAAAGGAATTTTTTGCAGCAACCACCTGGACGATGTTTGGGTTGCCCATCCAGATCAGGAAATGTTATGCAAGATCGGAAACACAATTATAGAGAAGGACCTAAAAGAGTGCAGTTGGGTAAGAGCTTTGGACAAAGGACAATGGAAGCTATCTCAGGTAGTAAAATATTATAGTCTGATAATTGATACGAGAATAGCTGAAGTGAGAATTCCAGAGGAGAAACTACAACTAGTCAAAAGTGAGTTAGATGCATTAAAGGATCTGGAAGTAATATCAGCAAGGAAACTTGCATCAATAGCAGGAAAAATACAGAGCTTTGCTTGAGCTTTCTTACCAATACAGGCAAAATATTTAGAATTTTACGATCTAATAGATACAAAAAATCGAGAGCTTTGGCAATAAGATAATCTAATACATCTAATGAATCAAACAAGAGAAGACAAGAAATAGTTGAGCAGTAACATACAGAAATGGAACAGGAGACCAGCTTGGAAATCATTATTAGTCAAACCAATTTACATAGATGCATCAACAACAGGCTGGTATAGAATATATCAAGGAAGAAAAGCAGCAGGAAGTTGGGCTCAGAGATTTACGTCTATAGAAATAGTACAACTCAAGAGCATGGCTATCTTGAGAACACTCCAGGCATTCAAAAGTCTGATAAGTCATTCATAGATAATGCTTTTTGTTAACAACAAGGTTGCGATCAAAACTGTGTCCTGAGGAGAAGAAAATGTATGGCAAAATCAGATTGCTCAACTATTGTAGGAATTCTGTATGACAAAGGATATTTGGATTTATAAAGTATACTGAATTTTGAGTGCAGAAAACTCTGCAGATTACCTGACCCACAACATCGATACAAACGATTAGAAACTAGATAATCAGATATTCATGAAGATAGAAGAACAATGAGGACAACTGTCAATAGACAGATTTGCAGACCATAAAAATGCCAAGAAAAGCTGTTTTAACAGTCTGTATTTTTGCCTCTGAACAGAATCAGTTGACGTCTTTACTTAGAACTGGAAGACAGAAGCAAATTATGTCTGCCTACCTTTCTGTTTGATTCAATGAGTATTAGTGCACAGTTTGAAGTGCGAAGCAAAAATGGTTATAATTGTACTGGCATGAGAAACAGCACCATGGTGGCCCCTTTTTATGTTGGCACCAAAAGAGATTATGAATCTCCCTCCAGTATACGAAATCATAGTACCAGATCCAACAGGATAAATAGAACCGTGCAGGAACAAAAAATGGCAATTACTGGTAATAAAGATCAATTGGTCCAATACTTGATTAATTATGTAGATATCATTATTAAAAATTCTATAGGTTCAGCATATAAATCCTGTATGAATAACGCTTTAAGGCTATATAGAAAATTTTGCAAATGGATTGGAGCGACAATGTGCTTATCAGAAGTGGATTCAATTAAAGCATTTCTAAGCTAGCTAGAAATGACAGGACAGAGCTCTAAAATTCAACCCTGCTTGAATGCCATATCAAGGGAGCACAAAAGAGCCAGAGAGGAAGATCCTACTAAAGATTTTACCATTAGGGAACTCGTTAGGGGAATTAGATTGCTATGTGCACAAGATCGTGAAGCTACCTAGCCTAGGGATCCCTTTCCTGTAGAGGCATTAAAGAGATATCATAACATACCACCTGTAGGAACCAAGCCGATAATGTGGCACCATAATCTAGCACTTGTTACAATTAGTTTTTATATAATAAGAAGGCTGTGTAAATGATGTGTATTAAGAATAAAGGATGTTAAATTTGAAAATAACTTATTATGATTAAGGATTAGAAAATCGAAGAATGATCTGTTTGCAAATGGAAAATTTGTTTCTATCAAAATAATGAAAAGTAGGTTTTGTCCAGTACAATTATTGTGAAAATATTTGGAAGTAAGACCCACTACAAGTGAAGAGGATCCTATATTTCTGTCAAATACAAAAGGGCAGATGTTAGTATCAGCAATTTTATTAATCATAAAAAGAATGACGAGAATAGTAGGGCTGCAGAGGCAGTTTATATTACACAGTTTAAGGTTTGGAGAGGCTATCACAGCCATGAAAGGGGGCATGAGTCTTACTCAAATTAGAGCTATTGGTGGATGGGATTTTAAAGCAGTATTATTATATGTGAGATCCATAACGACCACCCAAAATTGTGCTTCTGAATTAATGGGTTTTTAATAATTAATTAGGAAATTATGTATACCAATATAGATCTAATACCCTAGAAAAAAAAAAAAAAGAAATAGATACAATAATAATATATATTAAAATTTTTAGTTATTTGATTCTCAGCATGTCTTATATTTGTTAGTAGTAAGCGAATTGGTTCAACAATGACCCTCAAGACAAGATTACTCTGTTTAAATGACAAAATGGGGCTATTTGTGATAGAGTCACGAGATAGTCTTTTTGTTACGAGATCAGGCCCAACTATACAGAGGTAAATTGGAACCTACATTTGGCAGAGGTGATTGTGTAATCATATATAATTCACCAAAATTTAGTGCTATTAAAAGGAGAATTTTGTAAGGACTATTTCTTCACTTTTATGCTTTTCTGTTGCTTAGCTCTGAGGAGTTTAGCTCAGTCAACTTTTCCACCCACCCACCTCTAACAAAAGAGGTAAAAGTTTAGTAAAATTAACTGAGTAATGTAGAAAAAGTTAAGTGTAGCTCGGCCTAACGGGTCAAATGCATTATAAAGTAACAGCTTGGTCTTACGAGCTAAATGTTACTTGGAAATGAGCCAAAGTAGCCTTGGAGTAGAGATGTTAACTGCAAATATAGATTAACAAATGTGATCAATGATTAATATCCTTACTGAGTTAAAATTTTATACAATATACTAATGCAATAAAAAAATCTAGATTCCATTTCAGAATTATTTCAATCCTAGGAAAAAGCTGCTGAGCACGTGATGGCAAGGCGCAAACCCATATTTGTTAGTAGTAAGTGAATTGGTTCAACAATGACCCTCAAGACAAGATTACTCTGTTTGAGTGACAAAGTTTTAGATTAGTATACTCCACATTTAGCTCAATAGTAAAATTTACTTATAAAAATTTGCAGATTTTCTCAGGTTGACTGGCAAATCACTAATTAAATAAAAATGTTCTTCTAATCAAAATAGCCTTAGTTCATAAAACCAAATTAGTGATTGTTTTAATAAAATTTTGAAAAAATAGCCTTTAGAACTATAATTCTTTAAATTTTAGCTGTTTATAAATATCTTCATTTTTTTTAAAATTTTATTAAGCTAATCAATTTTGCTATTAAATAAAAAATG